CCTCAGATAATCTCTGTAAACTCCCAACGAAAATCCACATCGGAATCAATGGTATCTCCATTCACTCATCAAAGCACACATCTCTGTGTCATGCAGTCGTCGACAGGCCTTCTTCAAATGTATCATCGCAAAACGAATCACCAGACGTGGACGCGGAGGGAGTACTAGTAGTTCGCCGGCCGTTGCTTGAGAAGGAATCTAACGTTGAAAAAGAGAAAACGTATCCAGCGAAGATCGATGCTGGTCTGAGTAAGATAGCTAAGAAGATGCCTATATTCGAGCCGGAGAGATCGGAGTCTTCTTCGTCTTCCTCAGCTGCGGCGGTTGCTAGGGCTCAAGAGAAGCCTCTCGCAGTGAACTTGGACTTGTCTCTTTACAGAGCTAAGTTTTTAGCGAGGAGTTTTAAATACAAAGACGCTGAGAAGATTCTTGAGAAGGTAAACAACAACATCAGGTTCTTGTAAGAAAAAATCAAAATTGTAATGATTTTTTATATGCTATCTTGTTTGGTCTATAAAGTGTATAGCTTATTGGCCGGAGGATGGGAGACCGTACGTGGCATTAGGGAAGATACTGACCAAACAAACCAAGTTGTCGGAAGCAAGAATTGTTTATGAGAAAGGGTGTCAAGCTACACAAGGAGAGAATGCATACATTTGGCAGGTTCTATACATCTCTTTGTTTTGATTTGGACATGATTATGTTTCTCACTATGTTGTTTAATTTGGAAACACAGTGTTGGGCTGTGTTGGAGAATAGATTGGGGAATGTAAGAAGAGCTAGAGAGTTGTTTGATGCAGCTACGGTGGCTGATAAGAAGCATGTGGCAGCTTGGCATGGATGGGCTAACTTGGAGATAAAACAAGGGAATATTAGTAAAGCGAGGAATTTGCTTGCTAAAGGTCTCAAGTTTTGTGGAAGAAATGAGTATATATACCAAACGCTTGCCTTGTTGGAGGCTAAAGCTGGTAGGTATGAGCAGGCAAGGTACTTGTTCAAGCAGGCCACCATATCCAATTCCAAGAGCTGTGCTAGTTGGTTGGTAAGTGGTTTTGCATCATCAAACATGTTTTTCATGAGTGTTAGGACAATGCCATTCAAAACATGTTTGCTCCACTGTCTATGAACAGGCATGGGCACAGTTGGAGATACAGCAGGAAAGATTCCCAGCTGCAAGAAAGCTTTTTGAGGTAAAAACAGTGGAGGCTGTATATTCATGACTTGAGTGGCTGTTAAGCCACTATGCTACATATGGAAGCTTCATAATCTGAAAAATGTTTTTTCTTTTTTTTAACAGAGAGCTGTTCAGGCAAGCCCCAAGAATAGGTTTGCTTGGCATGTATGGGGGGTGTTTGAAGCTGGAATAGGCAATGTTGAGCGTGGAAGAAAGCTACTGAAGATAGGTCATGTGCTGAATCCTAGAGACCCTGTTCTCCTTCAGTCCCTTGGCTTACTGGAGTATAAACACTCATCTGCTAACCTTGCTCGGGCTTTACTAAGGAGAGCATCAGAGCTTGATCCTAGACATCAACCTGTTTGGATTGTAAGTATACAATATTCAACTGGTTGTTGCATCACATAGTAGACTTTGGTTTTACCTGGTTCTGTCTGGCTAGCGTATTAAAGATTCCTTATAATATTTGTATGAAAGAGACAATGATATGCGAAAGTTTAATATGGTTTAGGCTTGGGGTTGGATGGAGTGGAAAGAAGGAAACACAACAACAGCTAGAGAACTTTACCAAAGAGCTCTCTCCATTGATGCATCTACCGAAAGTGCAGCTCGTTGTCTACAGGTAAACATTCTAATTACAAGAGACTAAGACTTATGAACCATAAGATTGTTGGTATAATAACTAGCCTGCAAGATTTGCTGAAACAAACTATTTGTATTTTACAGGCGTGGGGAGTGCTAGAGCAGAGAGCAGGAAACCTATCAGCAGCAAGAAGATTGTTCAGGTCATCACTGAACATAAACTCACAAAGCTACGTTACATGGATGACATGGGCACAGCTTGAGGAAGACCAAGGAGATTCAGACCGTGCTGAGGAAATCCGTAACCTCTATTTCCAACAAGTAATCTCTTATCTGGTTTTACACAGCCTTGATCTTCTATTAAGTAGAGTTATTATTCATTATGTTGATGGCTTCCTTCTTTATTTAAAAAAACAGCGGACAGAGGTTGTTGATGATGCTACGTGGGTCACGGGGTTCTTGGACATAATTGACCCGGCTTTAGACACAGTTAAGAGGCTGTTGAACTTTGGTCAGAACAGTGAAAACAACAACAACCGGTTAAATGAGACTCTTAAGTACATGGGTGGAGCCAAGGAGAGCCAATCTAGTCAGGTACAAGGAAGCTCCGTGGGAGGACGTGAGGATACTGAAACTGGGAGTGGGTTTAACCTGGATGCGTTTTTACGTGAGAAGCTCTCGTTGGATCCGTCGAAGGTAGAGGTTAATCTTGATTCTCAGAGGCTAGGGAGATTCATTAGAGGGAAAACAAGTGGTGCTTGAAAGAACAATACATTGGATATTTATTTTGGGCGGGGGAAAATGTAAACTGTAAAGATGAAGAAGGCTTTATTTGTAATTTTGAAGAGTTCTAAGATAGCAATTGTTATTATTTAACAAAAATTGCATATTTACCGCATCAAAGAATTCTCACAGTAAAAGATTCCAATTTGGTATAAGCTTTCTGCAGCTCATTGTTTATTTTGTTTTCATGATTACAGAAAAAAAAGGACAGAAAATCTGACCGTATTAAAAAGGTCAAAGAGTCTTCTGGTAAGTGAGAAAATATTTTTTTTTATATTTATTACTGTTACTGAGCTGTTGTGATTCTAAGGCTGAGATCATCTTCGAATCTATCCAACGGTCAGCATGTGATACATATCACAAGACCGCGTTGCAGAGGATCTAGTCTTCCCTAGTCTAGTCCTTTCCGACCAAACACCATCTGTCTTCCAGTGGCGCTATTTTTGCAGACAGAGAGAGAGAGAGAGAAAGAAAGAGAGTCTTTATGTGGATGCTCTAAAAAGGTCAAAGAGTCTTCTGGTAAGTGAGAAAATATTTTTTATTTATTTATTACTGTTACTGAGCTGTTGTGATTCTAAGGCTGAGATCATCTTCGAATCTATCCAACGGTCAGCATGTGATACATATCACAAGACCGCGTTGCAGAGGATTTAGTCTTCCCTAGTCTAGTCCTTTCCGACCAAACACCATTTGTCTTTGAGTGGCGCTATTTTGCAGACAGAGAGAGAGAGAGAAAGAGAGAATCAAGCTTTTGTTGAAAAGAAGAGAGAGATAAAGAGTATGGCGGAGAGTGGTGGACGGAGGATCGGAGTGGCGGTGGATTTCTCGGAGTGCAGCAAGAAGGCTCTGAACTGGGCGATCGACAACCTGGTCCGCGACGGAGATTATCTTATCCTCATAACCGTGGCTCCTAATATGAATTACGAGGAAGGCGAGATGCAGCTCTGGGAGACCGTTGGATCACGTACTCTTCCCTTCTTTATTATCCCCTTGTTCACTACTTCTTCTTTTTTTTTACTGTGAATTGAAGGAGTAATAACGCTTTCATGCGTCATAGTAAATCACGATCATTGTTGGTTTATAGGGTTTACAGTTCTACTCCGTTTATCTGATCTAATGTGTTGAAGGAACTTGGACTTACTCATGCATCGTTTGCACTTGTTCAACTTGTATTTTCAAATCATTGTAGGAAACAGTTGAACTTTTTTTTTTTGTCACAGGGAAACAGTTGAACTCAAACCATAAACAATTAAATCAGATAAACGTTTGACTCATGCATCGTTGAACTTGCTCCTGGTCATATTAATTGTTTATGGTTTGAGTTCAACGTACTGTTTCCTCCAATGATTTTCTTGTTGTTTGACTCTGGTTTTGTGTTGTAACGTTTTAAGCGTTGATTCCACTGAGTGAGGTCTCTGAAGCTTCCGTGATGAAGAAGTATGGAGTGAAGCCAGATGCTGAAACCCTTGACATTGCCAACACCGCCTCTAGGCAAAAATCGGTATAACTTCTTGTTTCCCCCTTTTGCATGTATCACTCTTTACAATAGTAGTTGCACGTATAGTCCATGAGTTATGTTCATTTAAAGGTGAGCTGTGACCAAGAAAATAAAAAACATTTTAATCTATATGAAATGAAACTCTCTTTTACAACAAATGTTTCGTTTCTGTTAAATAAAGAAGATAAGGTGCAACTGTTGTGAAACATGATGATGCAGATTACAGTAGTGATGAAGATATATTGGGGAGATCCTCGAGAGAAGATATGTGAAGCTGCTGAACATATCCCTCTCACAAGCATTGTCATTGGTAACCGTGGCCTTGGTGGCCTTAAGAGGTAAAAAAAATATTTTCCTCCTCTTTTCTCCAATTCCTCAACATCTCTAGCTTGGTTACACATACTGTGACAAGTCTTGCTTCTTTTCTGCAACAGGATGATAATGGGAAGTGTTAGCAACCATGTTGTCAACAACGTGGCTTGCCCTGTGACCGTCGTGAAGTCTCACCACTAAGCTTTGTCTTCACATCATTTGCTCCGACAACCTGAATCAGAATGACCTGTGGTGTATTGTGTCTGAATTTGTATTTTCATAAACCGTGTGTGTATGTGTTAATGGCCTATTGGGTAAAACCGTACTTCACCTTCTAATAAAAGTAGACTTTTTGTGAGAGTCTTAGACCAACTGATTTGTTATTTTTGATCATGTAAGTGGCTTCTATTATCTCTGCTGCTATAAAGGAAATAAACCGTTAACTATTTATATCATTGAGCGACACCGTTGATCTGCAAACTGTATAATCTCAAGACTAGTTTCATGAACAAGATAAAGCAAAGTTCAAGTCTCAGGCCTAGTATCATAAACAGATAAAAGTGCAACATACAATGAAACACAACACATTAGCTAATATAAAATTGTCTCCATAGATATAAGAAAGCAGGATACTAAACATTCCTTCATCAGTCAGTTAATCACAGTGATCTCCTTTCTGCTCTTCTTGGTGATGAGTACAAACTCTGTGGGTTTGATGAGCTTGAATGTACACCTGTCACCAACCTTTAAAGGGAACTCTCGTGCCAATCTACTCCATCCACTTGAGAAGACAGTTCGAGTCTCCCTCACCAAGCAAAGCACATTCCATGAACTCTTCCTTTTTGAGTGATGTATCGTGTACTCCAAAGACTCACTCGGGATATGCGCCTCATCAAACACCCTTGGGAGTAACTGATACAACAAAGATCAAAAGATTCACATATCAGAGACTATATAGTAAACTGTTGAATAGTTACTTTGGTTAAAATCTAACCAGGAACTTGAGGTATGACTTCCTTATGGTGATTTGGAACTCTGGAACACCTTTATTCACTTTCTTGATCTCGATATTCTTCTTCTTGAATGTTTTGAGTTTCTTATCTTTCTTTTTTCTGCCCCTGAGGCTAGCTCCTCTCGATGATTCACCTACTTCCACACAACTCACCACTTTCTTCTTCTTCTTGGATGTTTTAGAAGCCTCAGCTTTCTTCTTTGTGGCTTCCATCTCAACTCCGTCCGTTGACTCACATGTTTCCTCTTCCTTCTTCATGTCCTTGTAGCTGCCATCACCTTCTTCTTTCTTGATGCCACCTGTTTTCATCATCAAATTTTTTTTTTTTTTAAAACAATCATTCTTCTTCACAATCTACTCTGTTTCATAAACTCAAAGCTTACTGAAAGGAGTCGTTGGTGGGGCTTTTCGTGGTATGACAATCTCCTTGCCACTCAGATCGTAGATGTTGACACTGAAGCACATTAAACCCTTGTGAGTAAAGGTAATGAACTCGTTTTCACCCAACGCATTGTCGCTCACAAACTGGTTCCATCCAGACTTCTCCATGTAGTAGAACCTCGGGTTCTTGGAGATGTTTACTTCCCATGAGCTTCCCCACTGTGCTCTTATCACCATCTTGTATGAGAAGTCATTGTCCGAGAGATTTTGCATGAACTTGTAAGGAAACGCTCTCTGTTTTGAACCATACAATGAAAGAAACAGTTAACTTTCTTATCAAATCTTTCACATCAAGTTGGTCTACAAACATTTCAAAGAGTGAACAAATAAAGACACTTCCTTTAACAAGACAAAGCAGTGAAACCTTTCAATAAACAATAGACAACCAAAAGATTCAAACTTTTTAAAGCCTTGAGACCCATAAACACCAGGGAACCAACATAGTAAACTTTTAAAACACAGACAACGTTAAGTCTCAGAGATCCAACTTTGACCTTTAATTAGACAACCAAAAGATTTTGACTTGAAACACATTAAACATAAAACAAAGAGGAGTAAGATACAAAGAGATTCTGCTTTTTAAAGCTATCAAGCAAAACCACAACGTTCAAGACAAGATAAGGTTTTGAGAAAAGAAGTTACCATGCATTCAGAGGATAAGTCTGCACTCTGGAAGATCTTGAAGAAGCTAAGGTTCTTCCTTTCTTCCTTAATCCGACCAAAGCCACCGCTCCAATCCATCTCTCCTTCAACAGCTTGTTCTTCTCTTTCACCCAAAAAGCTCTGTGATTTCTATTTCTCTCCCTCTCTCTGGTGTAGTAACTAGTAAGTGAGAAAAGCGTGGTTCTTTTTATTCATTTACAAAGTACTAAGCCTTTTTTCATTTATTTTCGAAATAACTGTGGAAAAGCATCCTCGTATAGTCAAAGTTATTATTTTTGTTGATTTTTAAAATGGTGATAGAAAAGACACAATAGATGTTACAGACTGACTTCACAGACACGCAAATGCAGAATGCTTGTTTTAGTACCTGAAAAGCAAAAGCACACACTTTCAACTTTCCCTTCTTTTATGTTTTGTTTTAACGTCTATTAACGTTTAATATTATATTATTATTTAGTACTAAATTTAGTATTGGATTTTAAATTCCATCTTATATTCAGTTACTTTCTCACAAAAAAAAAACGTTTTATGTTTCTTTGGCAGTCAAAGGTCAAAGTCTTTTTCTTTATAGGTGCTACAAGGATGAGATCACCTTGTGCGTATCATACCAAGTTAATGTGTTTATGTATTACATACAGAAAATAAACACAAGACGCATACATGCATATATATATATATATATACTAGTGGTTTGTCCGCGCTGCGCGCAGATTATTTGTTTTGTTTTTCAATTTAGGTTTCATAAGTTTGTAGGCATTTCGTTGGATTTGTTTTGTGGGATAGGTTTTTTGTTTTGTGGGATAGGTTTTTTGTTTGTGGGTAGCTAAGTGTGTGGCTGTGTGCTATGCTGTCACCGTTGTGTGACATGGTTCATCGTAGTCGCTAATGTATTCGACTGTAGACTTTGGGTGTTTCTATGTTGTTTTTAGTTTTTATTACCTCTCAAGAAGCCTTATATTTTTGTTATAGTTTTTCACTTGTTTATAAATTGTTGTAGCAACTTGTCCTAATTGTTTTTAGTCTTATGTTAATTTAAAAATTTATTCACTTATTTCTTTTTTATTAATTTTATTATTTAGTTATTATTGTCATTGTATTTTAGTTACACTTTTTTTTTGAAAACGTTAGATTTGAAAATGGGTGGACCTGCCTTTTAACAAATAAACATTTGTTAAGGGGTTTATAACTATGTTTTCGTGTTTGTGAAAAAAACATCGTGTCTAAGAATTATAGATTGTGAAGGTGATGGACTAATCGGTTTTTAATGTCCTAACCTCCTCTTCCCTTAGCCAAATTATTTGGAAACAAAGCAGGAGTGGTTATGTTTCGGTATCACCTTTTATGGTGTTATATTTCTGCTGGCTTGTACAGCTGTGTAAGAAATATTAGGATTTGCAAGAGACCGCGAAAACCAAAAGATATAGAGTTTATACTTTACAGAACCAAATATCGGTGTTATGCGAGTTTTTGTTTTAAAATAAGTTATGTAAAAATAACTCCGGTGTGTTGTGTTAAATTATCTCTCAAATCGTGAGCGTTGTGTGAGATGTATGATACTGGTTTGTATCTTTTGAAAATATTATTTAGATGATTTAGTTGTTGTTAAGTGGGCCGAAAACTGTGTGTTTTATTTTCCAAGTGAACATATGAACTTTTCAATACGATGCGGTGGAATTTGTAAGCTTGTGTTTCAAGATATTCAATCACACAATTTTTAAATAATATATATAGTTTAAAACAGCCAAATTCAGTCAAAAACACCGTACAATAGACTTGGACTCGAACTTATTGATGTCACGATTTTTTTCTTTTAAAAACAGGACAATAGAGTAATTGTGATCTGTTAAAAGTCTAAAACAGTGTCTTGGATTCTCATGGGATGCCTTGTTTGCAGAGTGTCCAACATCATCATCTTGGGACTCCTTAGTAGGCACCTTGGTGGTTGCACGGAGACTATTTAGTTCACTAACTTTACCTAGTGCATGGAAATTATGCAGTCTGCAAATGTATCAGTTAGTAACATGAAACTTAAAATAGAGTTAAAGGAGAGTGGTAAGATAAAGGCTAATCTCGGGGGTGAACTCAACAAATAAATATTCAGCTCCGATAGTGTTATTGACTCAATCTTCTTGACACCTTCATATTGCTTATAAGTAGAGGACGACACGTTGTTAATCTGCATCATCCTGAGTAAAGGAAAGAGTAAGAAGAGTGGAAACAATTTCAAATTGACAAATTCAAAAGTCAGAGGCAATGCCTATATCCTAACACTTTCAAGTAACTGACGCCTGCACCACTCTCCTTGTCGAAGTAGAAATGTGTTCAAGAAGTTGAATTTAGGAAGAGTCGGCCTGCAAATAAAAGGTTCTTGTTAAACGCTTATGTAAAGGACTCTTTATGAAAACGCATAGAATCAGGTATTCATAGCTATACCTCTAATCATTTTTGGATTAATTTTGTCACAACAATGACCTTTGGCTCAAAACCAGCCGCGCCTAATTTTAAATGCAGTTGCACTGCAAGACAATTGAAACACACAAACACACACCGTTTTGTAACTGCGTGGTAGAAGTGTAATACAACCAAGTTAAATGATCGGAAGCAATAATTAATAATTAATTTACTTTTGAGAGTATAACAACATAAAGGGGATACAAAGGCCTGACCTGTGAGTGTGGATGTTTGTCATAACACATTTAGTGGCATATTGTAACTCTTATTTATTCCCATCACTTCACCTATAATATATGGAATTAAACATTTGGAGTTATGGGTGGTCAAGGAAGTCATAAGAAGGTTGAAATACTTGAAATAAAAGGTTATCAATGTGCTCAATGAAACATACCTGGAAAATCAGAGTTTGTATATTAGCCAAAGACGTCAACTGGTTGTAACTGCGGAATCGAAATAGCTCCATCAATATTGAATTCCTGATCTTTGTTAACGCTATGTTCCTATGGCCGGAGAATTGAACAGGCGCATCACTAAAGCAGAAGCGTTGATTGTTTCTACTCACATCAATGAGGCTAAGCTCATAAAGCCCTTCTTCTCCGAGGATGCTTTTGAAGGAATTGAGCGGTGAAAATTGATTGACGCTTTAATCATAGTTAACTGTCAAGAATATTAGGTAATCGGCTAGCATGATTTTTTTGCAGGTGGAAGTGTCTATAAAACTAAACCATGTAACTATTGTTACCTTTTCATCAACGGAAATAATTAGATCATATCGCCTCATTTCTTGAAATTCTGAGCTTCACTGATACGAAGGTCGCCGATAAGAATACTCTGCCTGCAACGACCAGCCTTGAGCTCAGATAAATGAAGCTGTTGATTTTTCAATCTCGGAGGATTCTAACAACGTTTGTGATTTCAATAACCTGTAAGGAGTAAAAAGAGGTACCTGAAGAAAAATAAAGAGACATTGAAGAGCATATAATGGAGCATCGTTGATTGAAAACCATTAGTGTAGAATCTTAAACGCATCAAAGAGAAGGAGAAACGGGAATAGATTACGCAGAAAGAGAAACGTCGTTCTTCATCTTTGAAAAAATACACTAAATAATCATGGGCCAGTTTAAGAATGTAGTTGTTGGGCTAAAAAGTCACATATAACAACATAAGCCCATCGATAAAACATTGTTTCATGTTAAAGGAGATTGCCACGTGTTTTAAAATGCCCCATGCTAGATGATGAGGTGGCACTCTAAGAAGAGACAAAAGTCTCCTTTATTATATAAGATACTAGTGGTCCGTCCGCGCTGCGCGCGGGTTATCGGATATTTGTATTATTTAAAAATTTTAAATTATTTCTTGGTTTGTAATGTAATATTTTTATTGTGTTTTGTTTATGAGAATGGTCTATTATGATATCAATGTGATGGCATTAGGGTTAAATTGTGGACATTTGGAAATTATTTTAAAATTCTTGAGTCATAGATGTTATTTTTTTGTTTGACAAATTTTATTTTTTTCAGGATCAGAGATAATAGCTATGAGAATATTTTTCATAAAAATTTATTTGAAAACAAAGTCTAACAATTTATTCTAAAAGCAAAATTAAACATAACCTTTGGAAGAAATTGAAGAGGAACATAAATGTTCAACTTACACTAAGAAACAAAACAAATAAATCAAAAGTGGAAGGAGTACGTCATCATGTTAATGGTAAGAACGTTTCCCGTATAGGCCTTCTTTTAGTTAAGGTGATCACTGAAGCCCATTATCCATTTGTAGAACTCGGTTACCAAAAAGAAGTGGAAACAGTTGGAGCAAACCGTGATCTCCTTCCCCTGTTGAGGATGGCAGTTCTGGGGTGGCCACATCTTCTTTAATGAGGTAAGACATATATCCTTCATGTGAAATTGAAGGTGCTCAAGAGATTGATGCAAAATCGCCATACAATCTTCTAGTACTGGAATACCTTGCTCATCAGTGAGTTTGTTAATGTTTTTAATCCCTAAGTCAGTTTCGCCGATGGCCATAAGGAGGACGCCGTAAACGTACCTTCGTCGGAGGTGACCACCATTTTAGGCAATGTGGATGTGATGTAGACCTAGGGACTGATTTCGAGTTTCGAAGAATTCTAGCATCCCTTTAACATAGTGAGCGTCAACATTGTTCGCGTTGAGGCAGTTTTGCACCAACTTTTGTTACCGATGAGCTAGAGCAAGCTTCTTCACCAAAGGTGAGAGGTTGAGATCCTTTGCAACAAAGAAGTTCTCAGAACTGAAACTGAGGATTTTGGATGTCATAACTGTGTTGAAGTAGTCGGTGGGGTGGGTGGGGTTTCATAGCCTACTTTGGAAACAATTAGGAGACGCATTTCTTCGGGCATGAATTCAAGGGTGAGGGTATTATGTTGTTTTCGATTCATGAAACTCATCGGAAAATGATCAAGTTTTTTTTTATTCTAACGCTGTCCTTATTAGTTTATTTGTGTTGTGCACTTGTTTATATAGGACGTTGGACATGGTGTTGATTTTAACGTCGTTTACGTTTTCAAATATAATTATTGGAAGCCATAATTTTGCGTTGAATTTATTTGCGGTTTGATTGTTATTATTTATGTTGTACCGTTGCATGTATGCTGAGTGGTTTGATGTGTAATTTATGGTTATTAAAAATTAACCGACCGGAGTTCCTTATGATTTTGCTTGGTTTTAATACTTATAATATAATTTGAAAGGTAATTTATATGTGGGTATCGAATAAACCTTTTTTGGTTTGCTTGACATTAGATAAGTTTGTATTTATTGCAAACGTCATAGATTTGTGGAATAATTTTAAAATTATTTTGTGGGTTTGATTTACCTTTTTAGGTATTTATTATCATTATCTGAAATATCTAAATAGATGTGTCTGTAACGTGGCATTGAACGCAAAAAAAACTTCAAATTGCTTTAATTTTGGTATTATAGATGATTTATGCCATTATTTGCTGTGTTTCCGTTTTAACAACAAAAACTTAAAAAAATTTTAGGCGTCTACCACACAAAATAGCCAGTCCAACAACAACCACAAAACCGACAAACAAAAAACCAATTAAAACCGAAACGGGAGAGATAAATTTTGTTTGGTCTATTTGGTGTAGGTTATTGCTCACATGGCTTTTTTCCCCCCTCACAAATGCTGATGTGGATGCATGAGAAGGGAGAGAAGCCTACTTTATTGTATAAGATATGTTCAACGCTTTTACAATGTTAATCTTGTGAATCTTTGACCTTGAAGTATATTTAAATTTAGAAATTTGGGAACTAAATAAAGTCAATACTTTTAGCGCATGGGTGATAGTTGATAGTTGGTAGTTGATAATTGACTAATGTACTAGATTTGTATTGTGTGTTCTGTGTGGTGTTCTATCACCGTGTTTGATTCATGCTAGAGTTAAGCCTACATAGTCGTAGTGCTATGTACTGAGTCAGTGGTTTGAGGTTTAGCATCTCATACTTAACTGAACGACTCCCATGTTGTTCATCCCTCCTTTCTTTCCCCTTTTCAGGTGAGACCGATGAGTAGGAGTAATTATAACGGATCGGTGCTTTTGGGTTATTGGACTTTTACGTCTCGTATCTTTCGGATTTCACAAGTTTCGTTAGTGGGCCTTTCCACTATTGAAATTTTATCATTTATGTTATTATCGATATTTTAAAAATTATTTTAATTACTTGATTTTTTCTACGTGAATTTTGACTTTTCAATATTTTTAATAAAGATATTACTTATTATTCTGATTATTTTATTTATATTATTTCCGGAGAAAACGGGTGTCACAAAATGATTCATGTCTGATTTTTGATGCACGTAAGTCATAAAAAATGAGTTATTGAACATTGTTTACCGTCAAAAGATGAAAAAATGTTCAGGTGAAATGGATGGACTCCGAAGATGGGAAAAAGAGAAACCAAACCCATGTGGATAACTTTCAGTGACCGTGCCCGGTTTACTTCAACACGGACGTTTCACGTTCAGTTCCCAATAGACACTTCATTAAGACCATGGGCACTGGTGTCCCCTGATTTTTGGTCCCCTAAATAAATTAATATTATTTTGAAAGTTTCTTATTTTGTGTATGAGCATTTGTGTTTCTTTGTGATTGGTCCCCCAAATAAAATATTAATATTTTGAAAGTTTAGAAATTAATTATTTAAATTAAAATGTAAAAACATATTATAGATTTAAGAAAAATAAAACATATAACATTAAGATTGAAAACATAAAAAATTACAAAGTTACAAAAAATTGAAAAATAAAAACATACAACTAAGACATAATATAAAACACACAAAATATAAAAACATCAAAAAGTAAAAGGAACGTGGACTTAGTTGATTAACTCGGCGGACAACACGTATCAAAGAGAACGGACGAAATACGTCCCCATATAAGAAACGTGGACTTGCAATTATTTTCTTTTTCATTTAAATTTTATAAAAAAAAGATGAGGGACGGGAGAAATACACGCCAATGCACATGCTCTAAGATTCATTTATCCAAAGATGTAGCACTAATTGTAGTACGATAAGCCGTGAAGAAAAATGTATCACAAATTCACAATTGAGACAGTTTAACACTAAATAGTTTTTTTTCTCAAAAAAATGTATCTCAACTTTGTTTTTTGTAGACCAACTTTTGCCAAGGGTCCAAATTTTTCTTCAGCCGGGCCTGGTTGCTTACAAAGACGATGATGGAACAGAGAGTAATTATTAGGCCTGGCCCAAATATCACATAATAACTGCGAGACCTTAACAGGCCTTAGAACAATAGTTTAAAGCCCAAGATTTAAGAGAGTCAACTTATCGCCAATGACCGACCAGACAATCGGAGATAAAAAGGAAAGAGAGATTGGTGAGGTCGACCTAACTAATCACAGACACAGAGACAGACACAGATTCGATCCTTAGATGATGTCCGACTGTCCCAGGGAATTGGCGGCTTACAGAATCGATTCCGACCTTCCAAGGGATGTGACAGAGGAGGTGCTCTCTAGGCTCCCGGTGACATCTCTGGGAGGAGTACGATCTACTTGTAAGAAGTGGAACGCTTTAACCAAAGACGATGACTTTATAAAGAAGCACCTCGGCAAGAATCAGTGGAGGAAGGTGGTGATGTTGCTTGACTATAAGGTTTATTTGATGAGCGTTGATCTCCTCACTCCACCATCTATAGAGCGTATAGGTAAGCTCGTTAGCGTAAACCACGATAATGATCCTGCTGCTGCTGCTGATGGAGTTGACATATCTAAGATCGTTCATTGCGACGGTTTATTGTTATGCATCACCAAAGACATCCCAAACCATCGGCTTGTGGTTTGGAACCCTTATAGTGGGCAGACAAGGTGGATCGAACCCAGAGATTCTTACAACAGATTTGACGGGTACGCTCTTGGATACTCATCGGAGAAGATTAATAACTGCTCTCTTCTTCGTAGCCACAAAGTGTTGAGATTTGTGGATTTCTACGACCGGAGTTTAAAGCGCCATGTTCGTGAGTTTGAACTCTACAGTTTTAACTCTAACTCGTGGAAAGTTGTTGATGTCAACCCTGACTGGAGCATAGGATTTTATCAGCGTGGCGTGTCTCTAAAGGGAAACACTTACTGGTTCGCTGAAGAGAAGCCTGTCGGTGTAGCTCCAGGAACAGAGATATCAGATCTCCGTGATTTCTTACTCTGTTTTGATTTTACAAAAGAGAGGTTTGGGCCGCGTCTGCCTCTGCCTTTTCACTCCTTCGGAGACGTAGTGGCCCTCGCTAGTGTTAGAGAAGAGCAGCTTGCTGTGTTATTTCAGAAATTTGGTTTACCTCCATACACGGTCAAGATTTGGATCAGTAGCAAGATCGAGCCCAATGCAGTGTCGTGGAACAAGCTGTTCCTAAGTGTTGATATGAAACCACTCACTGGTTTTCTGTTTCTTGACAATGGTGGGAGTTTCTTCGTTGACGAGGAGGAGGAAGTGGCAGTGGTTCTTGATAAAGCCAGAAATACGTTTCGCTTTACTCACAACATTGCTTGCGTCATCAGTAAAAATGGACACTTCAAACAAGTGGATATCGGAGAACCCGCAGATCCTTCTCTTAAGCTCCCCACAAATTGCCCACTCGTGTGCTCTTATGTTCCAAGCTCTGTCGACATCATGTAAAACTACACACCAGTATTTATTATTAAATCAGTTTTCTTTTCTCTTCATTTGTTGTTGTCGTTTTAAATTAGATCATGTCCTATGCTTTCTTCACTTTTTTTTTCATCTTATTTATATTTCCAATCAATATACTTTTTGTGTGGTGATCTTGTATGTCTTCTTCCATCATGCATGCATTTGATATCCTCTGCTCTCGCTTCTATGATGATGAAAGATAGTAGTAAGAGGAAGTTATCATGCATTGGCGTAAAATAAACAGGGTTTGTGATCTCATAATGTGCCATTATTAATTTCTCCTAGACTGGATCGGAGTTTGTTTCACTCACATAATGATATACATTCTAATATGAGGACAAACGGAAGTAGAAGGATAAGTAGAAATATTGGTGCAACCTAGGAATCTCAATGGACTAGTAGCATTATTAAAAAAGGTAAATTACCAAAAACACAAAAAAGTACATGATCTAATTTATATGGTGTAGATATAAAACCTAAAATTTGAAGGTTATTTACAAATAAAGATACGATCATTGAAAAAAAAATGTTATCTTATACATTTTCATCGGACTCTTTTTTTTCCTTCACTCTTTTTGTTTAATTGTAGAGATTCAATAATGTTTACTGGGTCAAAAAAAATGATTACTGGGTCATTCTTCTTCTTTAGAGTTTAACCTTACTGCACATCATCTCCTAAGGTACATGCATGGTTAAGCAAAATTATACGAGTAGACAACTAAGATAACGTATGATCCAGGCCAAAAGCTGCTGCTTAGATACTGCATCACATATCACATTATTTAGTTGATAAGTTTAAAGCAAGCATAATACAGTTACGGCTCTAATTTATTTCTTACCTCCATCAAACATCTTCTTCAAAGCGTGGACAGCATGCGCAATTACAAGCCATGTTAGTTAAGAAAGTGTTCTTTGAAGACATCTGCATTTTCAGCTTTAAAGCAATTAAATACTTCCCACAAGTCTAAGAGACAAAAGATAAAGATTATTAGAGATTTGGTAGCCATTTCGTGGAAAGCAAATAAGGAGGGTAAAGAAAAACAAATTTAAGCTCTAAATATTCAGATAAATTTATTTTTCCTGTTTAAGTACCTTATCAGCTATTGTCAGGTATTCAGTCAGAAATGTTTGTACGTTTGACTGGTCGACAGCTCCCTTCTCAAGAATTGGTTGGACAATGGTAGCCACGTCTCGAATAGCATATCCTTTTTGCAGTCCTAGCTTAATTAGCGATGATGTCCATGCACCACCATGAACACCATTGAATAACAGTTAATTTTGATCAATTCAGGGCAGTGAAGAGTGAAATCAACAACGAAGGCCAACGAAGAGTGAATCCCATTGAGTAATACTTGTTGGAGATTTTTTTTAGCATCTAGCAAGGGATCCTTAACTGCCTGTGATTGTGACACTTTCTTCAACACCACTATGTTCAGTTAGCGTATCTTCTTGCTCATCTTTCGCCTCCTCAACTGATTCTTTGTCATCTGAGTCCTTTATTTCAGACAATGTCTCATACTTAGCCCTGATATTGAATGGTGTTTGATGAATACATGCAGATTTGTCTAAGTAACATTCTTGTTAGATTAATATTCACATGCAAGCTGGTTAATCTTCTGATCCTGTAATTTTCAAAGGAAGCCAATTATACATATTGGACCTTGAGACTAAATGAGCTGACTAGGGACACAATCAATAGTGTCGTTAGTCGCAGCCTTGACTATCAAGTCTTGCACATCAGGAGAAACATTATGAGTCCCATCGTGAGGAAACTGAAACTGAAAAGATGCAACATCATCTTCACCATCGCCACCACCATCCCCTCCATCATCATCATTGGCTTCTTCTTCTCTCTCAGACTCATCTGTTGAGTCATCATCATCAGCTCTATCTTCTTCATCGCTCCTGCTAGAACTTGAGGTTGGAGGAAATGTTGACTCTGCATCAGGGTATTCAC